TATGCATTCAATTTTTTTATTAAAGAATTATATTTTAGATATTATAAGTATAAAAAGTTATGAATATACCATTGATAACTACATTTACGATGTTTCAATAAGTGGAGTTAATCCATGTGTATACGCTGAACAACTCATATAATAGAGCAATAGCAATATCAACAATTAATTACAATTAGTTTATGATATAAAAACTCAAATTAAAAACTAATTGCTTAAATTAGAAGATTGTAATTATATATAATAGAGCAGTCATAGTTATGACAGAAATAAACCATCAAATCAATAGCAAATCTTGTTAAGCATTTATCAAATAATGGAAGTTCAAAGTTTAAGACGGCGATTGACGATAAATCATTCAAAATCAAATCAAACCAGTAAGGAACAATTCAATGACGGACGAGGCCGACTCTATTATACGTTATGAATTTTAATGTAATTATAAGTATATACAACGATTTTGGGCCTTTCGGAAAGACAATGTGTGAAAGCTAAGGTTGATGTGTATTTTCCTTTGTAGTGTATACGTTTGATACGTTCTGACTCAACTTACCGAGCTCAGTCAATCACGTCTGCTGATTGACACCACGGGCATCTCCTCGGCAAGTTCCCTCAGCGGAGACCGTAGAGTGCAGATGCCACCTAGCTGTTTTGCTCTCCTTGCATGACCTTTTCTCTCATTGGAATATGTTAATGTAGTAGTAGAGTAGTAGTAGACAACCGATCACCATAATCCTCTGTGATTGCATGAACCACAGCGTTCACTTGTCGACCAACCTCCTTACAGTAAACTTAGTTGAATAACGTCGCCGCCCTAAATTACAAGAGGTAATTTTGTTTTTGAATAATGAAAAGAAAGAACTACCAATAAATCCAAGATACTTACTTATTATATTAATAACTCTTGTGTTTTATTTCTTTTGAACTTTTCTTTCTATTTCATACTCCGTTAATTGCATGGGAGTTATCTTGTATCATCACCCCGCTCCCTTGAGTTGATCACCCCCACCACACAAACACGGCGAGGAGTAGAGCAAGTCCCTCGCCTAAACATTTGGTCATTCGAGTCATTCTTTTGAAGTTGTAACTATATCTATTTTTGAACGAAAATTTTCAGACGAGTATCTTGTTTCAATATGACCAATTACAACAAATAATTGCAATTAAAAATGTTGTGTAATTCCAATATCAAATATTTATATACAGCCAACCCATGCCCCCCGTTTGGAGATTTCTGAAATTTAGATGGGGCATTTACCAAAACGTAGATGGATAGTTTATTTATTTTCTAGGATCTAAAGTGACAATTTTGAGCTCGGAATGGTTATGGCTAATTATTTTAATACAAAAAGGTGGTAACGTACATTCGTCTGAAAATGTGCTCAAAATCCCCGAAATCAGTTGGCACGATTTCAAAAAAGGGGTGCCGTTGTATGGGGTCTACCCGAAAATAAACCGGAAATCATTATTTATTTATTTTATTTCTTTTTAGATTCTTCTGCCAAACTGCAGTCATTTTTGGAAAAAAATGTGTCCAGACTGCCAAAAATACCGAAATGTTTGGGGGTTCCTTAATATGAACACTACCCGATAAAATATTCCGATGATGATGATGAGTTGATACCTAATGACAGTCAAAAATACTACATTACTGCCTCCACCAAGAAAATGACAATCAAAATATTTAATGGGGGCTCCTAGGAGAAAGGTCATGTTATGATAGGAACTTGAACATACTGAAAAAGGCATGAGAAAATTATGATTGAAATTCTCAAAATATCTGATTGTGGGGCTATAATAAATAGAAGATCAATATTGATATTTTAAGGTAGTTGGATTTTACAGACAATGAAAATGAAAAAGTAAATTTCAGCCAATTCGATTGAAAAACGTGTCCAAAATTCTCAAATTAGCGACATGGGCCAATATTAATAATTGTTAGTGCGGAAATGTAGTGATTCCATTTTGAGAACCCAGTATACCATATTGAACTCAATTTAATTGAAATCATATCAAAACTCCCCATATTGTGGGGCACCATATTACGAAGGCTACCCTTAAACATGGGTCAATACTAAACACTTTTAGTACGGTGATGTGTGGTACAATGAGAACCCAAAGTACAAAATCACAGCCAAGTTGGTTGGAAAACATGTCCAAATTCTCCAAAATATGGAATACTGGGTGTACCGTTATGTGGTAGCTAACCTGAAACTTAGGTCAATATTAATTATTTTGAGGACGGATATGTGTTATTCAATGAGATCTCAAAATACTAAATTACAGTCAGTTCGCTTGAAAAACGTGTTCCAAATCCTCAAAATACGAATAATTTTTGATTCCGGCATGTGTTATTTAATGATAACTCAGAATACAAAATTACAGGCAATTCGGTTAAAAATAGTGTTCAAAAACCCCAAAAGTACGGAGTATTGGGGGGTACCGTTATATGCCGCATTAAACATTCTATGAGTAGTAGTAATGTATGTGTAAAAGTTTAGAGTTCTATCTTAAATAATGCGATCTCTATCGGGATTCCAACGGACAGACAGATGGACGGACATGGGTATATCAACATATAATTTTATTCTGATCAAGAATTTAAAGACCTTGTGGGGCCGCATTTCGAAACAATCCACCTTTATGGTGGGGGCTACAAAAAGGGTCTAAACTCTCTCAATTAACGAAATTATGGGGGTACCGTTGAACCCTCCGAAAAAGATAAAGAAATATAATTTTTGGCAGAAAGAGGTGCTGAGTACACTAAACGTCCATCTTTAAACTTGACCTTCGTTCACACAACAGATAACTCTATGCCAAATTTCAGCATTTTATCTCAATTCATGATCCCTGGTTCCGTATTGGTCCGCGTAGAAAATGTTCGTCGCGGCTGAACTGAACGACTTTTTTGCTTGGTTTTGTATTATCCTTTACATCCATCCATTTGTGACCTTTGTATGTAGGGGAGACTGGGCATCGGCATTCGGCATCGGGACACATTCGGCAGTCGCGTTTTCGATATTAAGCGCTCACTGTACATCACTTGCTTCGATCCATAGGTATCGAATATCGAAATAAATGAGTGTCGCAAAGTTTGAAATCTCTAGCTAATAAATTTATTTAGACGCACGGTCTTTTGTATTTTTACAGATGTTTTGGTAATATTTCCATTCTATTTCGTATTTCGTATATAAAACTTTTAAAATTTATTAACAAGTAATTAACTACAACGTACATTTTTAATAAAAAAATAATTAAAAATATTAGGTTTTTGGAAGATTGGTAGAAACAAAATAAAAAACTTTAGAAAGTTCCTTCGAGGTGGATTCGGCATTTTGATGTGGGGCACATTCGGCCATATAGAGATAGCGCAATGTTATTTCCTTAAAATGTTTTTTAGTTTGTCTTTAAAAATAATCCTTTAATATGGTTCGAAATTATATAAGACCAAACTATTTCTGATGGTGTGTGTGGCCTTGAGACGTGAACGTGCACCGCTAAAAAGTATAGCCTTAAAAGTCAAGGCTTTTAAGGCACCGCTAAAAAGTATAGCCTTAAAAGTCAAATATTGAGTCGCATATTAAAACAAAATAGAATCGTTAGAGGATCTGAAGTTCAACCAGACTGATAGCGGTGATAAAAACCAAGCTATGAATATGGTACCGAATGTGTCCCATTAAATGCCGAAGGTACCCTGAGTAGGGGCACATTCGGCGAATTTGCCCCTGTAAAAATTCTAAACTAATACTAATTAATTATATGGTTTTGGTACTATGTATCAAAACCATATATAATTATGTATCAGACAACAATAACCAGCCATAAAATTCTTATATCTCTACTGAGATATAGAGCTCTAAGTAACAAGTGCCGAATGTGCCCCAGTCTCCCCTACATATATACAAATCCATTCCTCCATTTATCCGAATTATTCACACATGCTAAAATTAGAAAATTCGTATATTTTCTCTTGCCCTTATCACACTCATGTAACAGGACATTATTAATGTTGGCGATGTTTATATAAATATTACTAACACATACACACTTTCATATCTCGGATTTAACCTCCGACCATATTACTATCTTGTATGAACTTTGAAAATTCGTGAGTATATAGTTTGCATATGAATGTTGAAAAAAACTGATACTGTAACATATTCTGTGATATGGTACGAAAGAACCGAAAGCGATGTGGGATACATTTATTCCACTTTAACACACATTATTCATTTGTTTCCCCATAGATATGATGAACGGTTCACCCGAGAGTGAATATTTCAAATTTTTAGAATATAAGGCGGGAATATGAGCTTCAAATGGAATATTGTGTATGTTGAGTTTACGTACAAAAATCAGTCTTGTTGGCATTGTTGGTATATACGTGCATATATTTACAATATTATGTGCCAAATATAGCTTTAAATTCATTTCATATCACTATGTACATATATATGAAAAAAATGTTGTATATTATTTACAATGTTTTTTTTTATAATATTAGTATACATTTCCATTAATTATCAATAAAGTAAAACATTTAATTACGATTTTTTTATTTTAACACACATTTTTAAGTATTTTTTGTTACGAAGCCAATTAAAATTGTTTTCACGTTAATATAAAATCATTCATGTTTGTTTATTTGAACCTGAATATGATATATTCAGATACATTTTTATTAAAACAAAAATAGGAATAAAATAAATAAAGATGTTTTAGGTATAATCAAAAACACTAAATGTCAGTTAATTCAGTAAAAAATATGAACGAATATGAATGAATCCGAAAATTAGACTATAGCGTTATAAGAGGGTCCATGGCGAAGCGGGAGCTAAGCAATACTACATCAAAATATCAAATTACACCTAATTCGTTTTGAAAATGTGAAAATATTCGAAATAAGAAAATATTTCTTTAAATAGTTTGTTTAAATTCCTTTTTTATATAGAGACACATATACATATAATAATTAAATCCTTCTTTCTATACAATTTCAGAAATACACTGGCAAATGTACATGCAATGCGTCTGATATCCTAGAAGCGATTAAAGAAAACGATCTACTGCGCGAAACGATACGTGGCCCACCAGGACTACCGGGTAAAGAGGGTAAAACTGGAGCTCCTGGACGGACGGTAAGAATTAATATTTTTCTTTAATTTGAAATTGGAAATGTCACAGTTTTTTTACTAATACTAAATTCAAATATGCGAGGTCTGATTAAAAATGAACGGTTAAGGTATGATCAAAAATGAACTGTTAAGGGCAGATCAAAAATAGATCATTTATGCAATCATCAATAACTATATTGTCCCCTTTTAACACTCCAAGTGACTTTTACTTGTTCTCAAATATAAAAAAAATAATTCTTGCTGGCAAGCTTTTTACCTCAAATGAATGTGCAATTACAGTTCTAAACTACTATTTTGAAGACCTTGATGAAAACTATTTTAATCATGGGATAGAATTGCTAGGAAAGCGTTGGACTAATTGTATTGACGTTTCAGGAGATTATATTGAAAAATAAAAATATTTTTGAAACACTATTTATTATCTTTCATTGATCGGCTAAGAAATTTACGAACCGCCCTTGTATTAGGTTTGTAGATTTAGATAATACTCCCAGTTGTTATCCGATTTTATCTGAATAAATTGTAATGAAATTTTGCACAATGCACCAAATGGAGACTAGAATAATGCCCCCCCCCCCATTCTCGGTGTAACAATTTTAATTTTTCGAACTAAAATCGTCCGATTTTATGTAAATGATGCACCAAGCTCCCAAAATTTGTCCGATTGGGACAAAATTTTGCACAACGCACTGAATCAGGTCTATGCTTATGTGTACGGAGTTTTGTTTGAATCGGTTCAGATTTAGATATAGCTCCCATATATATAGTCGTCCGATTTTATGTGAATGATGCGTCAAACTCACAATATTTGTCCTATCGGCACAAAATTTTGCACAGAGTTCTGAATTAGGTTCAGACCGATGTCTGCCAAGTTTTGTTAAAATCGGTTCAGATTTAGATATAGCTCCCATATATAGTTTCGTCCGTTTTTTGGTGAATGATACACCAAACCCCCAATATTTGTCCGATTGGAATAACATTTTGCGTAGATTACTGATTTAGGTCCAGACTGATGTCTGCAAAGTTTAGTTAAAATCGGTTCAGATTTAAATGGTTGTTACATTAAATTTGGCAGAGGGTATTAATATTGTGATTACAAACACAAATTTTGTATGCAACGGTTACTCAATTAAGTCCATGTGTTTATATATAGCTCCCATATATAATTTGACTCGATTTTATACGAATGGTACACCAATGAATCCAAGTCTGTCTGTTTGACATGCAATTTTTCATTGATTTCAGAATGGTATGTGTTTGGGGTTTTCAATTGGTTCAACTATTTATCTAGATATCACATTTAATTTCGCCTGATTCCATCTCAATGGTCCTCCAAAGATTCTATGACCATTCTATCTACAGGATATTGTAGAAATTAACATGTCTTGCATGTACACAAAGTGGTAAAGGGTATCTTATATTCGGCCCCGTCCGACTTTTGAACTTTCCTTATTGGTTTCAACTTAGTTTGTGGTCAAAAATAAGCGAATTAAAAAAAATCAAATGACCGCTATTTTAGTATTTTTTGTAAATGCCCTTGGAATTTCCGGATTCCGATGTTACAGTGAGGAGTTATGATAATGTAAAATCGAGAATGGGGGAGGTCCCCTTAAAAAATACTATGTTATAATATTGTCCGACTTTGATCTTTCCTTACTGCTTTTGATCAGACCTCGTGAATATGTATGTATAGAAATAGGAACTCAGGTATAGACAAATCTCTGTAGTAAACAGTCAAATTTATTAGAATTTTTTAATATTAAGGATTAATTATTGTTTACGTTTTAGCGTAGAATTTGTGTTTAGAAAATGGATTTTTTTAATGTAATACATCTATAATATAAGCAGTAAATTTTCTTGTATACACAGTTTCTGGCGGAGGCGCGAATAAGTTGTAAATGAATGTGTTTATTACCTAATATATTATATATATATATATATCATTTATCTTATACCCAAAAACTTTTTAAATAAAGCCCTTTGGGCAATGTATTGATTTAAAGTTAAAAGTGGAAGTTGTACTCTAAAGCAACTTGCGAGTATCTACGTGTCTGTTGAATTTAAATGAAATAAGAATTTAAATTAAATAGAAAAACAAAGAAAATTTGAAGTTTTGCAACCAAATTAAAATGCTTCTCAGCACTTCACATTTTTTTTCAAAATCCAGTATTAAAATACATCCCCAATTAACAAAAATTGGCAATTTAATTTATATTTATTTTAAATGTTCTAAATTATGTATTCCCCGCTCCTCATTTTACAGGTTACAATAACCGAAAAGGTAATCAGTTTAAAAGTATTTTTATCAAAAATCTTCTAACAGCTGCATTTAACTAACAAAAACAATTGAACTTATTGATTGGTATGCACTTCTGTAGCTAACAACATACCTAACCAACTGATTTCATTAACATTATTGACAAAGCACTTCCAAAAAATAAATGCAATATATTAACGAAACAAATTATTAATATTCGCAATAAGAACCTTCTTTGAAAATTTGAAGACATTTTTATGCAATACTAACTCTTGAGAAATTTAATTAATATTTTAGCAATCCATAATCGTCTTAGGCCCTTTCCTAGGAGTTTGACTGGAATCTTTAAATATTTAGTTTATTTTGTATTCACTGATGTCTAACATCTATACTCGCATTGGTATTAAGTTTTGTCTCATTTTTGATTGAATTCACCACACCAAAGAGGATTAATATCTGACATATTTGTACGTGTATCTGTACATAATGTCTATTCAGTTTGTATTACTGCATGCATTTCTGCATGGTTGTGTTGGCAGTTTACTGCGTTAACAATTATGGTTTCGAAATAATCGGGTTTCATTGATATTCGTCGTCATAAGCTGAGTTATTGGAGCAAAATGTATCCAAAAATTATAGATAGCGAAAACGGTATGAATTTCATGAGGTGAAGTATATATTATTTTAGACATTGTAATATCTAAGATGTTATTGCAAATGGGATATATCAGTCCACGTTCTGTTGTAGCCCCCATGGAGTGGTATCGCACTATTTTCGGTATTTTGGCATCGACATTTCTAAGGTGAAAGGAGGGCGAACAAATCTTTACCGAATATTTTCGATATTGTTGTGTCATATCTCCATATAAAGGTCCCACATTCCTTTCGGTATTTTGATGATTCTAGCCGCATTTTTCCACTCAGATAGCTGTAATTTGGCAATCCGGTTTCATGAAGTTTTAGTTATGAGTCCCTCCTTTTCAATATTTTGTAGGTTCTATCCCCATTTCCAACCGAAGTGGCAGAAATTTGGCATTACGGGCTTTTTTAACAATAATTTATGAATACATTTTTTTATATAGGTGTTTTACAAAATAAAAGTCACGTCGAGTTTTATAATTTATTAGGTTTTATCGCATTTTCCCAAAAAAAGGAACTGTAAATGAAAATTCGGGGCTCTTGTAGGATGAAAATTATGTTTGCATGTTTGTTTTAGTCGCATTTCGCTTCCAAATTAATTGAAAACGGATTGAGTTCATTGACACTTGGGGACTAATGTCATATTGAATTTTATATACCCTAATTAGCTTTAAGGGCCCCATACAATATACATCATTCCGTACAGCATTTATCGTAGTATGTGTTATTTTTTGAAAGTTTATTTATGTATGTGTGACACACACAATGCATGAAGGAAATCAAAATAGTTTTGATTTTGAAAATGAAACCCTATCAATCTGGTGAATAATATTCATTTTGAAAGTTGTCAGTAAATAATTTTGTGTACAAAAATAATAAAAATGTGATGGAATAAAAAAACAACTGAATTTACGACTCAAAATGCAATTTTTGGGACAAAAATCGAGTTTTTGGAATAGTGATTGAAGAGTTTGCCATACACTAGTCAATCTCAAGTACTATATTGTACTAGTTTTGCAGTTTTTGCTAGAAAAGCGTTTCCTTACGCCGAAAAGTAGGAAAAATTGAAGTTAAATTTAAGAGAGTTAAAATCAAAATGGCGTTCTCTTCTCCTATTTTCTGCAAGACCAATTTGGCCTAGCACGAAATTGCAAATGTAGTAAATTATGAATTTGACATTTGATTGCCAGAGATATACAGTCCGAAATAAAGAATATGAAAGTTAGCGCTTCAACATAAGGGACACAGGCACATTTGCTTAAAAAAAAAAAAAAACAAATAAGAAATTTAAAAATGGGCAAACAGATTTGTTATTCTCTTTTGGAGGATAGCGAAGATGATTGGTTGGCAGAAGATTCAGATGAAGATACTATTGAATGGGTTGGTTAATCGTACTAACTAGATGAAGAATATATCATCAAAATGGAAATAAAATTAAAAAAAGAATTTGGATTGCGTAGCCATGTATGCGCGTGTCCATATGTGAAAGTGTTATTCTTAAGTTCTCTTAAAAAGTACCAGATATAACCTTTTAATGATACCCATATTGCCTTGGTGGCAATAGAAAAAAGGGTTGTTTTAAAGAATATATGTTCCGAGGCCAATATCTCGGGAAGTATGCATTTACTCACATGAAATGTATATCACTGTAATTAGCACAAGTAGGGCTACTTACGGTAATCATTTCAAAATGATCCGAGTATTCTTGTTTTTCTAGTTCGCTAAAACATTCCAATCAAAATATCAAATTTCAATAGCATTAACATTATGGGAGCGTAAAGCCATGAAAGCCTTTCCGGGATTGGAGTATTCGGAAACTCCACTTCCAAATATTCGATAATGTTTTTCTCTAACGCAATGGACGCCGTTTAACTTTTTGTGTTTTTTTGTGCATTAGGTTTCTGTAGTCTTTTTTTGTCCTTAACAAATGAAATTTTTGATTTTGACGTTTCTTCATGTTTGAACTATTTTTCGTTCCTTTACTTTTTGCGCAAATCTTGTATGTGAGAGTAATTTTTAATAGTTCGCTCTTTTACTAGCTTTACTATCAAAAAGTACGGGAACGAACCTATTAATGTTCACATTTTATCTTGACACACTATATATTTGAATAATGTTCAAGTATTCAGACTTATCATGTATTTCTAGTAGACGTGTGTGAAACCCTTGGATTATAAACCGAATAATCGAATTCGCTTTTGGATAACCTAATTCGAATTACTTTATTCATACCATTTACTTGATATGCGTAGGTAGTGCATTCTAATTTTTACACTTTCCACTTGTGGGAATTCAGTTGTAATCCCACATATAATTTTATACCTCCACTGTGTTACTGATAATAGGCAAAGCTGTTTCAATGCACTTTTGTAAAATAAAAAAATAATAATTTATTTTTTCCGCGTTTGTGTATTGTGGGGAAACTTTAAATAATATACAGATAGAATGCTATTTATGACAGATAATTATTTTTAAGAATTTCCCGTTGTTGTATTCTTTACAAAATGTTGTACACTGAGAAAATCAATTGAGACTTTAGTCTCGTGGTTTTGGCCTGAGGACTATTTATATTAAATTTAATTAGAATCGGTTCAGATTTGGATATTGGATATTCCTTCCATAGTTCGTGAGATATTATTGATTCACCATGAATCAAAAAAAAAAAAAAATGTCCGATTAATATGAAGTTTTATAATGCGTTCCGGATTGAGTCACTATTTGTTGAAATCAGTAAAGATTTAAATATAGCTCCCACATAATTTCGATCGATTTCATGTAGTGCCTGTTCAAATTTTTTGCACCCTCTCCTTCAACGTGGATTGTTTTGTGATGTTCGGCTTTCAATTATGACCTGTAGATCGGCTCAAAAAAAAAAAATAAATAAAATAAAAAAATTAAGTTTTCGGTCCACTTCATCGCAAAATTATTATCTGATCATTACCGACAATTATAGGCGTTGTCCTTGACCATAACTGGAGCCACATGGAATACTTCAAAGCGATCACCGCGATATTTCCTATCACCGCTATATTTCCGCCCTCTAGTGTGGTAATGGGTTACTAAATAAAATCTGATTACGTAAGCAAATATTTAAGTGTAACTCCCACATCCGAGTACATACGACAGTAAAATTGGTATCAATTTAAAGGTCAAGCACTCCTCTTGAATATAATATCAACTTCTTGAGTCTATGTCATTCAGGGGTAAATCTATACGCTATATGATAGAATTTTTGTCATTTTTCACACAAAAGTAAGGGTCCATTTGACCCGCTCTCCATGCAAAAATTCGCGGTGTTTGGGCCATAATTGCGGCCTCTGGAGCGACCAGAAAAACCGACAAAAATTAAGTTTTTGGTCCATTTCATCCCTTAAATATAAACCGATGTTTTCCAAAAACAATAAGGGGTCTTCATTGGGCCGAACCCATCATACATGCAAAATTTCGTGAAGATTAGTCCATAACTTTGGCCTGTATCGTGTTTACAAATTATAAATGACAGACGGACGGATGGACACACATGTCTAGATCGACTCAGCTAGTCGAGATATGACGATCGGTATACTTAAATGTGGGTCTAGGACCAATATTTCGCGGCGTTACAAACTTTTGGGGCTGCACAAAGCTATAATACCCTGACAACATAGTTGTGTAGAGTATACAAATTCTGAAGCTTTTGTAAACCAAACAAAATTAACGTTCAAATCATTGGAAGTACTTACAATGTGACTAACGAGAGTTATACCTAAATTATCTCAATATATCCCCAAAATTTTAGTCCTGGCAATTTTAATCGGTTTGCAAATTTGACTTTATTTCATGTTCTGATTAATATTTTATAATATTAAATTTTTTTTACAAGAAAAAACGCCGACCCCATCGAATGTATAATCCTAAACGTCCATCTCGGTATCATAACAATGTTTACACCTGAGACCTACATATTCTACAACGTTTATCATGCGTGTTCTGTTTACCTTAGCAATGTGTGTGTACTTAAACTAATGATGGCACACATACTTAATGTGTATTCTGACATATGCTGGTTGCTATGGAATATGCAACACATACACATGCAGGTTACTCTCAATGTTATGTAAGGTACATTCACTAAGCAGGGATAACGTTTTAAGTTCAAAATTAAATGAATGGATTTAAAATGAAACATTCTTATTACCACCCACTGTTGATGGACAGACACACTACACACCGCAGCGAAAGGGGATGAGGAGAACAAAATGTTTCACAAACTATGAGAAAATTTGCGTATTAATCCCCAGTGATATAACTTGATTTTAATGAGTTTTATATTTAAATTCGGACAGTTTTGTATAGTAGTTAAGAATGTAATTGAAGAGAAAAGAATTTAATATAAAAACTTTTCA